TATTTTCCTAGTTAATAGCATGGCATCTGCATATTTTATGATGTTTTAATACATCATAAAGTACATAAACTATCTTGAGGCTTTTAATCTTTCGAGTTGTTTTTTTCCTGTACTGATGATAGTTTTTATGTTGGTATTCATTCTGTTGAAGGATGATCTAATTGACATTTTATTTAGGATTGACAACTTCACTGCTTTGCCCTAAAAATTAAAAGATTAGAAATGCATATATTCACATATGCAAATGGTTTGTGAACCTTAGTTTATCTTTCTGTTTTTACTGTTGGTATCAGTGGTAGTGTTACAGGAACCATTTTTGCATGTTCAGAACTCAAACTTACCTGAAGTCATTGGGTCCCTCTTATTTCTGAGGTAATCAGTTACCTCCTCTTTGTATCTCCTTTGAAGAATGTTTTGTCCGTATATATAAGCAAATATGTATTTGTTTATATAGAAGTAGTAGAAATCTATGTGCATTAAGATATTTTACACTTGGAATGGTTTCCTACGCAAACAAACTTTGAATTATTGGTGTATTCCTATCTTTTTACCCATTGTTGTAGTTCCCTTACAGACAGACTAGATTCTCTGCGCCTTAGGAATGAGGTGATCCTAAGTGCTGAAGGAAGATTGTTTTCCTTCTATTTCTTTGGCATGGGATTATGCCTTTACTCTAGTTTGAAGTTGGTGGGTATTTTCTTTGCTCCTCTTGTTAGCATTACCTTCCATTTTCTTGGTGTCCAAGCCCCTGTTACCAAATGGACACCGTTTATCTAGATCCCTGTCTCCAAAGGTGTTACATGATATGAAGTCATTGGTCTTCATTCTTCAGTAAAAAGAACTGATTCTTCAGAGAGTTAATCCAAGCTAGGTGCTAAGCTTAAGTAATTTATATTGACTGTTTTCTTAGAAGTGCTTTGAGTTTTAAGAAATTACCCATATGAATAACAGAAGTAACTGTGTAAATAGAGGCTTATCATTTGGGTCAGATCTGTGAAGATGTTTTGCTACCATAAGGCATGGTTACCTGGCCTATAGAACTGATCTTGGGGATAGTCTTCTAGATTGTGGCTAGTTTCTTTTGCTTTTCATGATTTTAAGAATTCTTCAAAAATTGGAATCGTTGAGCCACCTTGTGTCTTGTATTGATGAGGATTTGTGTATTAAATGAGATTTAGACTTGACTAAATGTCTTTTGTACATCTAGAATTGTGTCTGTTCTTTTCTGTACTTCAGAACTCTACGGGGCCCCAGGAGGGAAGCATTGATTAAGGTCTGCTTGTCTTGTGGTTCAAGAGTTTTGTTTTTTGGGTTTTTTGTTGTTGTTGTTGTTTGTTTTGTTTTTTGAGACAGGGATGTAGTTCTGGCTGGCCTGGAGCTCACTGTGTAGACCAGGCTGGCCTCAAACTCATAAAGATCTGCTTGCCTCTGCTTCCCAAGTGCTAGGACCAAAGGTGTGTGCCACCTTGCCCAGCACTGTGATTCAGTCTTAAAAGTAATTTCACTGTGATACCCAGTGTACAGTGTCTGCTGTGGGATGCTTAAAAGATACTGTGAAATATAAAATTCAAGTTTTAAAAGTTGCAATTAGTTAGCACATGGTCAGTTGATCCTTTAAGAAAAAGTAGAAAATGTAGCTTATCTATCCCTTTTTGGCCATTGTAAGTCATTTAGTCTATTTTTCAGAACTCCAGATTCAAAGGAGAATATGAGTTTTGATTTTAAGAGCATAGTTAATAGACAGGGCTTCATTTTGTGCTTTAGAAAATAAAGATGTGTCTCCCTTTAGTTGTTTAATGTGGCAGCTGCTTGAAATACTAAGTAAGCTACTCCAAAACAAATTTGTTTCCATTTCGATAACAGGCTAAATTTGGCCGAAGGTGGACCAAAATTGCGACACTAGTTGAAAGTCGCACTGTTTTACAAGTGAAGAGTTATGCCAGACAGTACTTTAAAAATAAGGTAAGCAGAGTACAAATACCCTAACTAATAATAATATTTGGGTAAGTTAGCAGAAATACTCAATGAAGCTATTAAGTAATGTCTGGTTGGTTGGTTGGTTGGTTGGTTGGTTGGTTGGTTGGTTGGTAGGTAGGTAGCATTTCTGGTTTTGGGGTTCTTTGTTTTGGGGGGTATTTTTCTGTTTTCCCTTTTGTTTGTTGGTTTTTTAAAGACAGGATCTTGGGGCTGAAGAGATACCTTAGCAGTTAAGAGCACTGGCTGCTCTTGCAAAGGACCCAGGCTTTGTTCCTAGCACCCACGATGGTGGGTAACAATCTGAAATTCAAGTTCCAGGGGATCTGATACCCTCTTCTGACCTCTGTTGGCATTGCACGACATGGGTGCACCTACCAAATGCAGGCATTACACTCACACATACACAAATACATGTATAAACATATACATATTTCCATAAATATCTAATCACCCCATAAGTAGTTTTATTATTGAGAATTTTTATAGATTTTATATTCATAAAATACTATGTATATGTTTTAACTTTAACATTTTTTATTATATTTATTAGTTTTTGTCTATGTGTGCCAGTGCATGTGTGTGCTAGTCAGAGGGTAACATCCCAGGGCTCAGTTCTCTCCTTTTACCATGTAAGTCCTAGGGATTGAACTCGGGTCATCAGGCTTGGTAGCAAGCACCTTTACCTGCTGAGCCATCTCACTGGCCAGTGTTTTTATCTTTTAACACTTTGGAGCCAGCATGTCTAATTGGTAGACCATGGGTTAAATGGTCCCAGGATGGCCGTGAATGTGACTCAACACATTTCTAGATGACAGAAGTCATGTTGCAATGTCAGTCAATGGGCATCCCTGCTAGAGCATCTCTTTAGTGATTTAAATATTGCTGTTAAATAGGTGCCATGTTACTCCATTTAATTTAATATAGTTAAATAGGACAAAATATTAGTTGTTTATTAGTATCCTATAAAGCAAATAGTATTCCTAAGAGAAGATCTTAAGCAGTTTTTTCTTCCCTCTTGAAAATTATTTTATAAATATTTGCATTATAAAAACTTGTATAAGTTCTTACAGTTTAGGGGCTATAAATGTTAACATGGTTTTTAAATCTGTTTAAGATCAGCAGGATTTTTACAATTGTTAAAAAGAATTATCTGACTTTAATAACATTGGAATGATATAGTTATGATCTAGTTCCTTAATCTTTAAAATAGTTTGTATTGTATTTAGCTGTGTGATTTTGATACTTAGAATTTTTAAGCATGTTTTGTTTGAGCTCTAAGAATGTAATTATATGAAATTTGGAAGTAACTTAAATGTGATTTTTTTTTCTGATGTAAATAAACATACTCCTCAAACTGAAATGTTGGAGCATCACTTATAATCAAAGACTTGTGATGAAACAATTTGTTTTAATATTATAAGACAAGTTGTTTTATAAAACACAATGCAAAATTTCATCTTTTGCCTTCTCCTCTGTATTTTTAAAACAGGGTCTCTCTTTGTAACCCCTGCTGGTATTGGACTTGCCATCCTTCTGCCTCAGTCTCCTGAATAGTGGGGATTACTGGTGTGCACCACCATGCTCATAACTTTTTGCTTTCATTTTTAAGATTCAAAATAAGGGACTGCAAGTATATAGGAAGGCTAAAGGCTACTTCAGGCTCTATGGCCCCATATCTTTTTCTCTTCCTCTCTCTTTTTGTTTTCTACATAGTAAACCTGTTAACCTCAAGTACATGATCCTGAAGCTTTGTTGTGATCAAGGATCTATAAATACTATGCTACTGAAAGCTTTCATAGCCCTTAAAATAACTGTCTGTATATGGAATTATTATTTGCTTAATACAGGTCACTAGATCATGAGTGAATCATATTTATAGAAATTTTAAGTGGTAGTCTTTTATAATTAAAGAGCAGTTATAACCCCACAAAAGAAAAGCCAGGAAGGTTCATTGGCCATTAACATGTTCTTAGTTTAAAAATATTTTATCTGATTTTTTTTTTGTATCAAGTGATTAAACTTTAAAATCTGAGTGTTATACAGGTGTTATTTGGGATTGTTGTTTTTTGTGTGTGTTGTTTTGATAAGGTAAAGCAGTGTGTGGAGAAAGAAGTACCCAAGAAGAGCAGCAATAATCTTCAGGTTAAAAATAAAGATGAAGGGACGAAGGCATGGACATCGTGTTTAAGGGGACTTGCTGATCCCAACTTGAATGCAGTAAAAATCGAGAAGTTATCTGATGATGAGGAAGTAGACATCACAGACGAGGTGGATGAGCTGCCTTCTCAAACACCACAGAACAATTCTAGCAGTCTTCTCCCTTTAGACATCCCTAATAGTCAGGTGCATAAAACCAACCAGGGAGAAGCCATAGACCCAGAAGGACCCATTGCTAAATCTTACAGGAAGGATCTTCAGAATGTAAATCAAGGTGAAACTGAAGCACTTCCAAGCTCCAAAATTACATTAAAGACTGAAAAACAAAGCAATAGTGGTAAAAACTCAGATGAATTAAATGATGAGAAATATGATAAACCCGTTGAAAATTGTGATGGGGTAGGTGGAAATGAAATAACAGATGATGCAAGGCATTGGCCTTCTCCAGAGCCATGTGAGATTCAGGGTTTAAGTGGAAATGAAAAGCTTTTGCATTCTTCTTGCCAATTGGTGGAGGAAAATCATGAGGAAGAAGAGCTTAAGCCACCAGAACAGGAAGTGGAGATAGATAGAAATATCATTCAAGAAGAAGAAAAGCAAGCAATTCCTGAGTTTTTTGAGGGGCGCCAAGCTAAAACACCAGAACGCTACTTGAAAATTAGAAACTACATTTTGGATCAGTGGTAAGAATTACATTTTTATATGCTATTTTAAAAAATTTATGCTCTGAAGTATCTTATTGTAGAATTTAGAATTTTGCTAGAGAGCTTTTTGCATGTATTTTTTCAGTAGTGAAGTTTTAAGATTTCTCATAATGAAACTTCCTAAAAAGCTTTGGTAAGCATGGTCATCTATTGCTATCATAACATCTCTGTAGTTTGTGAGGGACCGATCATTGCTTTAGGGATCAGTTTCTTGGGGGCAGTGTTGAGAATATAAATATAGAACACCACTGTACTAGGAAAGGAAAGAATTTCTAGGTTTATCATGTATTTGAATATAAACAAGGAAAAATTCAGAGACAGGAATAGTGCCATTGGGTGGCTAGATTGCAGAAACTATTCTCTGAAATAGCTCTTAAAAGCTTTCAAATTTGAGCATGGATGGAGCATGATGTACTAATAGTTCCTTCGCCCATCTTTATCAGAATACAAGAATATTCTATTTGAAGTTAACCTTCTAAATTGCTAGTATATTTTCCTTCAATTACCTAAACAAAATTACTTCCTACCTTTATTAGCCTGAATACTCTGAAAGTAACTTGAATTTTTCCTAGTAGCTTATTAAGCCACCACTGACCATTCATCGTTGCTATTAGCGCTTTAGGGATTCATGGGCGTGGGTTTAGTGTTGTCCCTTATTTTCCTCATCTATCAAGGAGCTTACTGTCTGATTGTAGTAGTGTTCTGCTAGGACCTAGAAGTGCTTCAGAAGGAACACAGATAACTTATTAAATGAGCAATCCTCATCTCACTCATAATACCAGCTTACTTGGCTTTAAAGACAGCCATATTCTAAAGGAAGCTCCTGTTTTATCTCATGGGCATCTTACACTGATGAAATCACTGAAAACCTTCTGGCTAAGAATGTCAGTAAAAAATACTTACAAGAAAAAAACTGCCATTTATTTAGTGCTCTCCTCTGTTGTCTCATTGAGTCTTCATAACAATCCTGTGAAACAGGCAATTGGGATCATTTCTGTTTGAAAGAGATTAGCAAAATTCTCAGATCAGGAGAGGCTTAGGCTACTATTCTTTGGTCAGTCAGCCAGCAACTGACCCATGAAAGATACCAGTCCAGCTTACCCCTTCTGTTGCTCCACATTGCCTAGTTGACACTATGTTTTAAAGGCTAATTAAATTAGATCTTTGATAGCTAGTTTTGATTTTGAAAATAGAAGGATAGGTAGCCAAAATTTGAAGGACTTCAAAAACAATGACTACCTCAGAAATGTCTAGATGACTAGTGTATACTTACTGTTACTTTATACAAATTTTATTTGTTACTTTGAATTTTGGATTCTAAATGAGGCAGGATAATTTATTTAGGTAGTGTAAATTATATGGCAATAGTTGGCTAAGTCATTTACCTTAGTATATGAAACTTGTTTGGTATTGCTGTTTAAATATGATGACTTAATAGGAAAATGTGAAAGCAAAAAAAATTTTAAAAATATTTTATCATTTTTATTTTATGTGAATGAGTATATTACACGCATGTCATGAAGTGCCCATGGAGGCCAGACTGGAGTTAGGGACGGTTAGCCACCATGCAATGTTGGGAATGGAACCCCAGGTCCTCTGCAAGAGAAAAATATATTCAGAACTAGACAAGAGACTGCAGGTGATGCTTAAAGGAAAAAGTTCTTAGAAGAGTTACAGTTTTTAAAAACAAAGAGGCCTGTTAGATTTGTTTATATATAAAAGGTCCAGTCCATGAAAGCAGGCACAATTGGTTTTACTTAGGGGGATATTTTTATTAAAGTATGAACTAGTACCATCATTAATTCCTACTACATGCTATGCATTATATATCATCTCCAATCCTCTTGACAATCTTTACAAATGAAAAAAAGTGAGGATAAGGAACTGGTTGCAGGTCACACTAAGTAAAGGTAACTTCAGATTCTGCATTGATTCAATGTTTAAACAGTTGTAACTCAGGGCCTTAACTGCCCTGCCTTGTATCTTCTTTCCCTTTAAATCTTACAGGCTTGGCTCTTTGTTTCGTTCAAGTCTGCTCAAGAGAAAGTGAGAGTTCTGTGCCATGCTCCTCCTGGTTCTAGAACCCTGTGTATATGTTTGTCATGAAATTAATTACCACTGAAGGTGCTACAGTCTTGTGACTTCTCTCCTGTTGTAGTCCCTTAAGAATGCAAGCTACAGGAAGGCAGAGTTGTGTCTGTGTAGTTCCTTCTTAAATGCCTCCCTGAAGACAATGCTTAGACTATGGAAGGTATTCTGTTTGTTAGGGGAAGAAGGTTGCATGTAGGAGCTGTCAGTCTTTGATGAGCAGAAATACTTAAAATTCAAGCTATGAGCTAGGTTTTGAGTTCTGTGTAAAGCCTTTGGTTTGAGTAATCTTTAGATGAACCTGGTTTTCAGGCTCTTGTAATTTTTTAGTAGCTGTGCTCTTTATACTTATTTGTACAGCTTGTTTCCTTTTCTTTCGAGAAACGTTCTAAACTTTTCTGTGGAAGTTCTGATGTTTACCTACATCACAATTACTTTTTACCTTCTCTGGACTTCACAGAATCTATGAATCTAAATTTTGTCTGTTAGAGAAACCTTCCCTAAACATCCTGTCTAAAATAGTCTGTCAATTTGTTACATTCTGTCCCTTAGGCTTCTTCTTTTTAGCATTGTCGTTATTTGACCTTGTAATATATGTTATTTATTGATGTATTGATGGTCTCTGTTGGAACTTAAGGTCTTTGAAGTTGGAACTTTGTGTTGTTCACCTCTCTGTCCCTTGTTCCTAGAACGGTGCCTGGGACATGGGTCACAGATACAGGATCAAATGTAAATAAGTGGTTTCTGTGCTGTAACTTAGCACCTGGGTGTGTACCTGAACCCCACTCTTCCCATTCCTCAAGTCAGTTCTGCAGTCTTTCTCACCAGCTTGTCTGCTCCCTTCTAAGATGGGATTGATAGAATCTGCCTCCTAGAATTACTGTAAAGGTTAAGGGTGTGTAACTCACAATACCGCATCTGGCCTAATCAGGATTTGATTTCTACTATTACTAAGTTCTCTATTACTGTTAAGTTTTATATTGTACTTTCTAGCATAGTATATTAAGCAAATACTGGTTTTATTATGTGAACCTTCTGTTCTTTGGAGTTTCTTGATTACTTTGAAATCCCCTAAAATATCTATTTCTGTTTTCCTTCGAGAGTAAGTGCTTAAAGTTAAAAATGAATATAAAATTCTTAAATATTTTTGAGATAGCTAATAATTAACAGCATTGGCAAAGTTGGGAAAGTCTTGGAGCTGAGAGTTTAACTCAGTGTTGGAACACTTACTTGCTTCATTTCCACAAAGCCTGTGCATTTCCCATTACTACAAGAAAAAAAAAAAGGAAAAGGTCTTAGTTATTAAATCTTTTCAGTTACCAAGGTGCTCTTTTTATTCAAAGATTTAGACTTGAATTTGGATCTGTACAAAAATGAGCTTCTAATTTCAAGGTTTGGGGACAGAATACTTGTAAAATTCATACTATATAGGTACTTGTAAGTTGTTGCATCGTACAAAGATATTTTGCTTGGAAAGAAAAAGGGACACAGGATTTATTTATTCATTACACATTTAGACATTGAGAGAAAGTAAATTTTAAATATATTTCATACATTAAAAGTTTTCCCCAGAAATTCTTTTTTAAATGTTTTTATTCATCCAAAGTAATTGTACTTCCATCTTTCAATTAGGGAAATATGCAAACCGAAATACTTAAATAAGACCTCAGTACGTCCTGGCCTGAAGAACTGTGGGGATGTTAATTGTATTGGACGGATTCATACATACCTCGAATTGATAGGAGCAATCAATTTTGGATGTGGTAAAAATAAAAACCCAACAACACCTTTTACTTGACTTTTTTTTTAATCCTTATAGCACCCATTAATTTCTGTGGTGGTTTGAATTCAATTAGATTAATGTATATGGAATTCAGAGAGCTATTGTAATGTTATAGAATAGGTATATTACTGAAGTTTTGCTGTGAAATGAATTTTTGTAATTAAATTGTATCCCTTTGAAGATGTATTTTTAAAGGAAAAATATTTACATGATAGAAGTAATTTAACAAAATAGTTTCTTTGTCAAGTAAAGTAAATAATTCTCTGAGAAGTCTAAGAATAGCATTTTTACTTTACAGATGCAGGTTGAAGCCAGCAAGGCACTTTTAAAAGTTCAAAAATGAGGAGCCTTTCTATGCACAAAATCTGATATTTGAAATGCTTGTTCCCACATATTTGAATAAGGGTTACTTACCTTATACTCTATTCCATCTAGAGATGCTTTCTAGCAAAGAGTCAATAAAGGAAATAACCTATGAACCTCTACACTTAAATATAATAAAAGCAAAAAAACTATTTTAGTGAGACTGGTAAGATGGCTCAGTGGGCAGAGGCACTTGTGACTGAGGCCTAAGTTCAGTCACAGAACCCACTTGGTAGAAGGAGAGAACCCATTCTGGCAAGTTGTCCTCTGACTTAGACATGCATACACATACACGTTTTGTTTTTTTTTAATTAATGGAAGAAAGTCTATTATTCTTGAGTTTTCTGAACCCAGAGTTGCTAAATCTGTGTATGTCCAAATGAATTCTACCCTTTTATTGACCTAATGTGATAGAAGCTCTGTGAAAGCTGTTAGCCATGGATGCAGGTAGTGGTAAGGTAAGCAGAACCTTACCGTTCCTGGTTTAAGAAGTGAATGCTGTTTCTTGATCCATTACAATGAGACAACTAACCAGAACGCTTCTGACAGATCATTTAATTTTTGTGATTTGCGAGAATGTACAGTCTACCTTAAGATTGTTCTTGTCAGTGGCTTGGTGTGCCCAAAGCCCTGTGTGGAGATAAGCTTTTAGGGAAACTTAAGACTTTTAGCTTTCTTAGCCACTAAGAGAAATGAAATCATATTTTCTATACTAGACTACCAAAGTCAACAAAGTGGGCTTAGCACTCATTTATTCAGAAGTCATACAAATTGGCCCATGTCTTAAATAATTTCATTTATTGAAATGTCCTTTTAATAATAACATTACCACATATGAGAGCTACTAAATAGCAACACATCAAGTGTATAATTGTGGGACGAGAAACTTTGGAGTCAGTGTAGATGCCTGTCTATTTAACAATTCAAAAAATAATTGTTTTATCTTTCCTGAATTCCAATAGAACAAGCAGTATATAATAGGCCACAGCCAGTTGATAAAGTCCGAATCAGAGACAGAAAAGATGCAGTAGAAGCGTACCAACTTGCTCAGCGCCTGCAGTCAATGGTAAGCAACCATTTTTCTCTAATGATTTTGTTACTCTCTCTCTCTCAAACAGTAAAGAGAAGTAGGATACTTTACTAAATAAATGGTCATTCAGTAGAACATGCTTTTTCTTGTATTTCATCTTGGCCATTTAATTTTCTGGCTCATATTTCATATTGGTATATAAAACAAAAAAGCAAGCTAGAAAACGCTTCAGACTGACTGGCAAAGTATGCAGAAACATTTTGTTTTGCTTTGTTTTGTTTTGGATTTGGGGTTATTTTTTACTTTTTAAAAATTTACTTGTATTTTATGTGTATGAGTGTTATGCCTGGTATGTAAGTGAACCCATGTCATGTAATGCCTGCAGAGGTCAGAAGAGGGCATTGGATCATCTGGAACTGGAGTTACGGACAGTTGTTAACCGCCATGTGGGTTCTGGGATTCGAACCCAGATCCTCTGCAAGAGCAACTAGTGCTCTTAACCGCAAAGTCATCACTCCAGCCCCACAGAAACGTATTATTAAATGATCTTGGGCTGCTTGGTTATGATTTATAAACCCAATGTGTCCTATAAAACCACACGGTTCGCTTTCGTTTTTGTTATTTTGTTGTCTCCTAAGTATTATTAACCTAAGAATCAGCTTTTTGGAATAACTAGCCTTTAGTTTTAGGTGTTAGTTGTAAGATATTTTAAAATCTGTGTCTTTAAAAACAGTTACCCAGCAAGTTTCCTATAAGGCAAAGTAATATATGACCTTGTTGCTTTATGCGTAGGTTAAATTGGTAGTAGATAAATTGGAAAAAAGTATTATTGATGCAATAGGTGTTTTTTCAGAATATTGTATCTGTGAACAATTTCTACTTGGATTTGCCGTTTTAAGAAAGACTCTTCAAATGGTTCCTGTGGATGGTACACATTATACACTCATGCCCTTTGGCAGCTGATCTGTTTTAAACACTTTAGTACTATAATTTTTCACTGTCTGTATCAACTTGACAATACCGTATCTAAAGCTGGCTTCTATTTTCAGTATTTCATCTCGTGCTGTGTATTTTTGTAAAGTTTCTGCCTCGGATGGTTGAAACAGCAAGGCCATTTTGTTGGTGTTTTTTTTCTGTTCATAACAGCATTTTTGTCCTGGTGTTTTAGCTCCTAAGTGGTGAAAGGAAAGAAAAAATTGAAGAAGAAATGCAAGTAAAATGCAGAAAATTATCACTGATTTTTATTTGTTTATTTTTGGTCTTTTTTAAGGCAGGGTCTCCCTGTAGCCCAGCTGGCCTGGAACCCACTATGTAGATCAGGCTGGCCTTGAATTCACAGGACTCCATCTGCCTCTGCCTCCTTAGTGCTGGGATTAAAGGCGTGCACCACCATGCCCAGCTCACTCATACACTTTTTAAGCAGTGCTCTGGTGTTACCACCAAACCCATACCTTGACACTTGATGTTAGTTTTCATATGCCAGCAGCAGTATATTTCTAAATAGAGCACTAATAATTGCACATATATTGATAGAATAAAGTTTAGTGAGGATGATCAGAGATTATATTACTTAAGTAGACAGTTTTAGATAATTACTCTTTTGGTTTTGTGTGTTACTGTGTTATGGATTTTGCCAGGTTAATTTTGTTATCTTTTGCATTGTCTTATTCTCATGGCAGCGCACAAGGAGACGAAGGGTCCGGGACCCCTGGGGAAACTGGTGTGATGCAAAGGACTTAGAGGGACAGACATTTGAGGTAATTTTGGCCTTACTGATGGCTTGTCCATGAAAACTGTTTGTCTCATGTATGTTGCACTGATTTTATATGATAATGTGTGTGTTCACTCCCATGTTAGTTTATTGAAAAGTTAGTAATAAACAACAAACTGTAAGGCATTCATGATACAAATAACTAGGAATTTGACTTGTGTTCAGACATTTGATTGCTCTCTATCTACATTGTTGTCTCTAACTGAAAAATAAATGCCAAGCTAAGCAGTTGGAACACCCAGTTCATTTCATTAAATGATGTTCCTATTGAATGGTACTCTGATACAACAATTTAATATTGCTCTAAACATTAAGCACATTGAATTACAAATATTGAAGTGTTATTTCTACTAATAAAATGTAAGATCTGAGTACCAGACATGGTGGCATACGCCTTTTATCCCAATACTCAGAGGCAGAGGCAGGTGGATCTCTGTGAGATCCAGGCCAGCCTGGTCTACATAATGAGTTCCAGGCCAGCTGGGGCTATAGGGAGACCTTGTCTCAAAAAAACAACAACAACAAAAAGTAGGATCCTGAAAAGAAACATGGGCAATGAATGCTGTATGTATATACACACATGCACACACACGTTCAAATATATAATTTGTTGTAGATAACTACTGTTGTAGAATGGAAAGAAGATCTGTATGTTTTTATTAGTTTTGTTACCTTGCATAGCCACTAGACTTCACAGCATCTCAAGTTTTAGTTGTTGAAGTGTGGACAATACCTCTCTGACAGGATTTCTGTAAGAAATGAGATGAAGTAGGAGGGTCCTGCTAGTATATATTCATTGAGGCTGTATGTATAAGGTACTCAATAAATGTTACCTATCTCGTGTCCCTCTTCATTTCCTGTCCCTGATCTCACATGGTGGGTATATTAATAAATAATTCATGACTCTTTCCTATAACGTTAGTCTAAGAATATAAGGTCCTCCCTCCCAAAGAGTGTGATGGGGAAGATTTCACAAAAGATAAGGTGCTTGAACTAAAGTATCAGGAGAGGAATAGTGTCAAAATATAGATGAAAGCATTCCAGGCTGAGGCAGTTGGAGGAACATAGTGATATTCTGGGAAAACGCATAGCTTGTCTCCACTAGATAAGGCTGCTAGTAGAAATGAATGACTAGAGTTTGACATGAACTCACACAGCTTCCGTGTTCCGTGATGCTGTTGTCACTATGATTGTTGCCATTTCAAAAATGAGGACACTGAAGTGTGAAAGCTTTGGAGCCCGTCTGTGGTCAAGCCAGACATTCTAGCTGCAGAGTCTGTTGGATCCCTACTTCTGTGGTGTTGGAGATCAAGCCCAGGGCCTCACGCATGCTAGGCAAAGTGCTGTACCACTGAACTGTACCCTCAACCCCTGGAATCTGTGGGGTTTTTTGTTTAATATTTTATTATTTTTATATTTTTATACGTATGCATGTATTGCCTGTATGTAGGTAAGTGCATCCGTGTCTGCAATGCCTGCAGAGGTCAGAAGAGACTGTCGGATCCCCTGGAACTGGAGTTACAGACAGTTGTTAGATTCCATGTGGGTGCTGGGATACAAACCCAGGTCTTCTGTAAGAACAGTTAGTGTTCTTAACCGCTGAGCCCTCTCTCTAGCCCTGGAATCTGTGTTCTTATTACACTGTGATGTCTTGGTGGTGAAAGAAAATCCAGTCCAGTAGGCTTTGGGAACCTTAATGAATGACCCAGTGATTGAAATAGGGAAGTGAAGAGAAGGAACAATTTTTCATTTTGAAATGGCTATGTACTCTGCCATAATTTTTTAAGATACTGCCTAGTATTCACTAACAGCAAAAAAGCCATCTATGTTAATGTAGTCTTGTCTTGTTCTCACATGCCTTTAAATCTTATTTTAAAGAACTATTTTTTTCATGCTGCCTCTAATAGATGATGAACCCTTTAATTATCTGTTGTTTTGTTTTAGCATCTGTCTGCTGAGGAGTTGGCAAAGAGAAGGGAAGAGGAAAAATGCAGGCCTGCCAAATCTTCAAAAGTGTCAAAACTACCAAAAAGGTAGGGTTACCTTACATAAATGGATGTTTTTTTTTAAGACAGGGTTTCACTGTGTAACCCTAGGTGGTCTGGAACTCAACAGAGATCCACTTGCTTCTGCCTCTGGGGTGCTGGGATTAAATGTGTGCATAGCCACACCTGGCATAAATACAGTTTTTAAACTTATCACACATGGTTAGAAAATAAATGAGAAAACGATCTATAGTTCCATTAGACAGTTCATATATGATGTATCATTTAAATTTTTAAAGAATTTTAAAAGTTTTTTTTTCTTGCCAGGTGTTGTAGCACATGCCTTTAATCCCAGCACTCTGGAGGCAGAGGCAAGTGGATCTCTATGAGTTTGAGGCCAAACTGGTCTACATAGTGAGTTCCAGGCCAGCTGGGGCTACAAGGAGACCCTGTCTCAAAAAAAAAAAAAATTTTTTTTTAATTGTTTAGTTTCTTGTGTGTGTATGTGTGATGTACATGTATAGATGTTTCTGCATGTGTGTGTGTATGTGTTAATGTGTGTGTAGGTGAGGCCTGAGGTTGATGTTAGGAATCATCCTTGATTGCTCATCTCCCTTATTTATTGAGGCACTGTCTCTCAATTAAACCCAGAGCTTGCCAGTGTGGCTAGTCTCGGTGGCCAGCCTGCTTTGGGGATGTCCTTTCGCCACCCTCTTGGCCTGCCACGCCCACCCAGCATTTGCATGGGTTTCTGGGGGTCTGAACTCAGTTCCTCATGCTTGTGCAGCTAGTGTTTAACCACTGAGTTATCTCTCCCCCGTAGAGAAAATACTGATGATATTAATTTCACTAATTATTAGTTTGGGAAACTTCAAATCAAAGTTTTAAAGTTCTGGTTCAGTGAGCATGGGATCCAATGCTAGGGTTACCTGTGAATGATAGTGAGTCATTCAACTATAGACATTATGGACAGGCAAGTAACCTCTTGAAATGACTGGTTCTATTTTTTTTTTTTTTGACTGATTATTTACAAGTTCTTGTAGAATTTATTATTTTTTGGGTTGTTTTGTTTTGTGTGTATGAATATTTTCTGTGCATTTATGTAAGTGTATCATATGCATACTATGTCCATGGAGGCCAGAAGAGAGCATTTGATCCCCCTGAAACTGTAGTTACAGATGGTTGTTAGCCAGCATGTGGGTGCTGGGAACAGAATCTGGGTCCTCTGTATGAGCAACCAGTGCTCTTAACCACTGACCCATCTCTCCAGCCCCAAGTTTGTTGTTTTTAATGTATTCATAATAAACTGAAATTTTTAATTTGTAAAATTATGAGTAAGTTGAATTCCTTGATTCTCTAGGCATCTTACTTCCTAATCTCATAGCTGCCCCATTGTGTAGATTAGAGCTTAACATTTCCTTTTTTAAACAAGATATTGAGGAATGCCACTAGATCATTTGCTTAGCAGTTAGATTTCCTTGGGTAGTCCTTAGGTCCTCATTTATAAATTAAAGTGGCTAGTGTTGTTAGCTGTGTTTTGAGCCCTTGGTTTATGTGAACTCAATTCCCATAACAGTCCTTTGCAGTGTTAATATCACTCCCTTTTTACTGATGAGAAAACTGAGGCAGATACCATGTAAGTAAGCCCCAGGCAAAAAGGCCAAAGAATCTAGTCCTGGTACCTGGTAACATAACTCCTCACATCACCTGCTATCTTCCCCAGAAGGAAACCTAACTCAGACGGTTGTGGAAATGGATTGTGTAAAAAACAAGTCATGTATAAGCCCAGGCTCCTTTCAGTATCCAGACATTTGATTTTTCTGAATCTGTAAATGAGACTTACGTTTATCGTGATTTTTCTTTTTTAAAAAATAAATAATTTATTGAGAATTTCATACATGCATATAAGGTGTTTTGATCAACTCCATGCCCACTCCCTCCCCTCCCACTCCCATATCACCCTATCACTTTTTTCTGATAACTTCATGTATTCTTTCTTCTTCTTTGATTTGTTTATTTTTATGGGGCTTTTGGCTATTCTTAACATTCCCCCCTAATTGCCTAGCCAATTCCTACCTCCTATTCTTATCACACCATCCTCTAAAGAGGTTACCCAAACTGCCAATAAGAATAGGACACAGACCACTCTGGCTTCTTCCATGTTGAACAGGGCTGCAGGGTGAGGCAATTGGAGTACCCCTTCAGTGGGTCTATCTAAAAGACTCCCAAATTGCATAACACTTATCTCTAGGGGGAAAAGAAAGTCCTTGAGTCGTGAATAGGAGATGTGAAGGAGAAGTAAAGGCAAGAGTAATTAGCATTACAAGTTCTAGACAGAGAACTAGAAAAAAGTCAGAACACGGCAATTTTCAAATGTTCATATGAGAGTCCATTGGAATTTCTTGACAAGGGCTTCCAAAAGCATCCCTCTATTTGGTTCCTCCTCATTTTTCTTTTGTCTTCCAAGGCTGGACTCTAGAGTGATGGATTCAAGATTTGCTTTCAGGTATTTTGATAGCTATTGGAGTGGTTAGAATCAGTGTCAGTTCCCTCTCAAAGGCTTTTAGATAGGGGGAGAAAACAAATTTACCCATCATTTTAGAACAGTAACTGGTTGTCTCCCTTAGCTACGGGTGAGCACTACAGTATTGGAGACCAAGATTTGAAGTCTTACATCTGAGCAGCACTTTCTGGTTAGGAACAAAATCATCAATGAGAAATAATTGTCTAAAAACTTTTGGATGTTTAAGACCATACAGTTGTTCCAAATAAATAATTTATTTTTACACTTAAGGTCATTTGAGGGTCTGTTCCTCCAGTTACATGGGCTGGGGAGGAGACCCTGGCTCCTTTCTTTTACCAGTTCCAACTATGTGAAGATAAGTCTTACTGTGATTTTTCAGTCATTCTAGCAAGTCAGGAATCTTTTAAGTACTTTCCTCATTTTAGTACTTTGAGCATTGATTCATCAACATTGCAGTAAGCTTGCTTTTTCGGTTAATCACCAAATAAAACGTTCAACTGGAATTAACCTCAACATCATTGTTCTATCAGCTAATAGACATTAGCACAGTTGTACCATATATCTTTGTCTTACTTAGAAGCAAAACTCTTGTATATATTGCTTAAAATTCAGACTTCCTAACCATTAGACAACCAGGGAAGAGGCATTAAAATTCAGATTTTAAAATTTTTTAATGGATTTTCATGTGACTGGAGAGATGGCTCTGCAATTAGGAGCAATTGCTGTTCTTCTAGAGGACCCAAATTCACTTTCCCGCACCCATGTCTCATGGTTTACGAAAGCCTTTAATTCCATCTTCAAGGAATCTCATACCATCTTCTGACCTTCACGGGCACTCATGTGCATTTACCACACACAGACACATATGCATACACATAGTTAAAAATAAAAATAAATCTTGGGGGCTGGAGAAATGACTCAGTAGTTAAGAGCACTGGCAGCACCCATATGACATCTAACAACTATCAGTAACTCCAGTTCCAGGAGATTCAATGTCCTCTTTTGGCCTTACATACATGCAGGAAAAAAAAAAGAAAGAAAAGAAATCGATAAGATGACCTTAAAAAAGAAGTAAAATAAAATGGAGTCTTTCGGTAGTCTGCTAGTTTCTAGCAGATAATTCCCACCAAAATATCTGTAAGGTTTATTGTGACTTTCTCAAACGCATTAATGTTAGCTACCTCTTCCTTTGGTAAAGGCTCACAAATCAGCTTTTCTAGGATTTTACCAGTATTCAGCATCTAATCCCTCTGTTTCTGATGTCTACTTTTTCATTGTTTTGTCCCGGTAATTGTCTCTGTAGCTCTCTGGTCACTGCCATTTTCAGCAGTCCTTCAGGAACATGAACGCCTTCACATGTGCTTGTTCAGTGCTTGGGACTGGCTGGTCTTCATAGTCAGTTCTCCTGTCAGTTTCTTCACCTGTCCTAACCTTAGGTTTGTTGTTGGGGGCTGGGGGGCTGTTTTGAGACAGTGTCTGATGTATCCTAGGCTGACCTCAAACTGACTATGTTATGTAGCTGAGAAACCTTGAAATCCTTCCTTACTGATCCTCCTGCCTCTACCTTCCAAGTGCTTAGATTATAAGCATGCACCATCACACCTACCTTTTTATTCAGTTAATTTAAAGATTTTCTTTATTGAACAAGTTTTTTGGTTTTTTTTTTTTCAGTGTGTGTGTCTTTTTGAAGCAGGGTCTCCCTGTAGCCTCAGCCGGGTCTCCCTATAGCCTCAGCCGTCCTGGAACACACTATATAGACCAGGCTGGCCTTGAACTCACAGAGATCCGCCTGCCTCTGCTTCCCAAGTGCTAGGACTACAGGCGTGTGCCACCACCCCCAGCTGAACAAGTATTTTTTAAATGCCCAGTGTTTTAGGTCCTGGGGTACAATTTTATGTAAGACAAAGTACCTCACAGTCTCTTTTATTAAATGCAAATTGGGCATCCTACTCTTTTCCAGTTGTCTTAGTAAGAACATGTTTCTGTTTGCTTTTCTTTCTATAAACATAACCTTATATTTGGGCTGGGCGTGGTGGCACACGCCTTTAATCCCAGCACTCGGGAGGCAGAGGCAGGAGGATCTCTGTGAGTTCAAGGCCAGCCTAGTCTACATAGTGAGTTCCAGGACAGCTGGAGCTACAGGGAGACCCTGTCTCAAAAAGACCAAAAAAA